TGGACCACCGGTTCCCGGTCCAACCGGTCCGACCGGCCGGTTCGGTCCGGTTTTTTAAACAGTGATCAGGAGTAACTTCCCTCTCCGGGTTCGAACTCGAGACACCGGGTTCGTAAACAAGGCTCTGATACCATTGTTACGAAAAGGTTAACCCATTCGTATAAGGCCCAAGAAATTCCTATATCAGAGCAAGTAACTAAGGTTGATATATGACATCCACCTTTTGGTATTTGTGGGTAAGACATTATAAAGGATTTGTTAGTAGAAAGTCTCATATTCTCTAATAAAAAAGGCATCAAATTTTTTTTCCAAATGGGTTGAGGGTGCAACCCATATCATTTGTAAAATAAGGTTATTTTTAATTATTAATATTTTTAAAAATATTAAATTTCAATAAAAAACAAAATATAAAAAACTAAAAATATTCTTTTATTTATTTAATGTTGTATCTGTTTAAATTGTAGTTTTGACGTCCTTAAAGATATTTTTACATATCGCGTCTTAAATATCTACTATTCTCATTGAAACCTCCCTTCACTTCTCTTTAAAATCTTTTCAATATTTTTTTAAGAAGAATATCAAATTAATCAAAATAAAAGTTAAAAAAATAAAAAATGTTCAAAAGAAGTCAAATTTAATATTTGTCCTAAAGAATAAAAAAGTTAAATTATCAAATACATCATTGAAGTATTCGAATATTTCAATTTTATTTTTATAATCGAGTGTTTGATCATGTAAATTTTTAATTAAACATTTAATATAGTTAAGAGGCTCATTTAAAAATTTTCCAATAGTTAGAGTTTAACCTAAAAAAATAAAAAAAAATGAATATAAAATGTGGTACACACACTACTACAGAGCGAAAAGGGCAAGAGAAGGAAAAGAATTTTGGAGGGAAAGGAAAGGAGGGTTGCAGAAGCGATGCCGGTGGCGAAGCGAGAGACGTGCGATGGAAGAGTCATTGCTCACGTAGACATGGATTGCTTCTACGTTCAAGGTCCCATTCTTCGTCAACTGATTCTAATATTCTATTCTTCCCCTTTCAATTCACCAAATAATGCTCAATTTTGTGACTATTTCACTTTGTGCAGTGGAACAGAGAAAGCAACCTAATCTACGAGGCTTGCCTACTGCAGTCATACAGTACAACTCCTACAAAGGTGGGGCCCTCATTGCTGTTAGCTACGAGGCTCGCAGATGCGGTGTCAAACGGTAACACTAACATAACAATTACTCTCTGTATTCTATTCTATGCCTTTGCGTTCACCTTATCAGTGTTAATTTTTTGTTTTGGTTTCAGTTCAATGCGTGGTGATGAAGCCAAGGAGGCATGCCCGCAAATTCAACTCGTCCAAGTCCCGGTCGCGCGTGGCAAGGCTGATCTCAACTCGTATAGGAGTGCGGGTTCGGAGGTATTTCGCACAAATTGTTTATCTTTGGATCGTTATTCCCTTTGTGATGATTTGTGCCCTATTTCCAAATTTTCAGGTTGTCTCGGTTCTTTCGCAGAAGGGCCGGTGCGAGAGGGCTTCAATTGATGAGGTATATATTGATCTAACTCATGCTGCTGAAGCCATGCTCATGGAAACTCCTCCAGAAAGCATGCAGGACTTTGAGGAGGAAGTTCTCAAGTCACATGTTTTAGGGCTGGAAATTCAGGTCAGAGGCTATTGTCTGTGTTTTGTAGGTTCTCTTTGTCTGTCTTGAAAGAATTTGCTTGATTTAGTTGGAAAGTCTCTGACATTATATCAAAATTCTGCAAACCTGGTGAATCAATAAAAAACAGTTCTTCATGTTTCACAAGTACAACCACTATTTTTCGGTTTACTGAAATACCTGTCAAACTGGTCAGTCTAGTCCATTTATAGGACCAAACTTTTTATGACAATGTTGTTATGTAATACACTCGATTAACTTACCACATCTTTGATTTCTCTTTTTAAATAAAATCATGGTAGCACAGGCTTGAGAGTATATGGGAGTACTGAAACTGTTTTTTTATTCAGGATGGAAGTGATGCCAAAGATGAAGTTAGGAAGTGGCTTTGTAGGAGTGATGCTAGTTACCAAGATAAACTATTAGCTTGTGGGGCTCTCATTGTTAATGACCTCAGGATGCAGGTGCTGAAAGAGACTGAATTCACATGCTCTGCTGGTATTGCTCATAATAAGGTAAAAGGCAGTGTTGGTATGTATATATGTCTGTATGTATATTTTGTCCCAAATGTCTGACCACTTTCTTCCTAAGGACATGTCCTTGATGTTTTTTGTGGCCATTAACTAGTGTCTGATGCTTTTCTCAGATGTTGGCTAAACTTGCAAGTGCCATGAACAAACCTGCACAACAAACTATTGTGCCACACTCATCTGTTGAAGGGTTGCTTGCATCTTTGCCAATAAAGAAAATGTAATGTCATTAGTTAAAAGATGTTCTCATGTATTTCATCCAGATTTAAATATTATCCTACTTTGCCTTGAGTTTATAAAGCATAATGTTGGAGAAAACTTGACTTTCAGGAAACACCTTGGGGGAAAGCTAGGGAGTTCCGTACAGATTGATCTCGGAGTCAACACCGTTGGTGATCTGCTTCAGTTTTCAGAAGAGAAGTTACAACAGTTATATGGGATCAATACTGGGTGAGTACCTGTCTTTCAACATGATGTTATACATGTATACTACCAACAATATCATTCTTAGGATCTCATATTTTAAAGTCTACAACAAAATAATGTATTGGTAATAAAAAAAGATTTTCTACATAAATACTATGTTATGTTAGTAATTTTTATGTCATCCTCTCATCTCAAGGCAGATGGGATGCAGTTCTGATTTAGTAACTTAGTTACACATGACTATCCATTTGATTTCTTCATTTCAATCCGTTGGTATTCTATTCCTGATTCTAGCTTTTACAGCACATCAGTACTTGGTTGTGGAATATTGCGAGAGGAATCAGTGGGGAAGAAGTTGAGGGGCGACTACTTCCCAAGAGCCATGGTTCTGGCAAGACATTTCCTGGGCCTCAGGCTTTGAAGACAATTGACTCTGTAAGAGTTCTCATCTTAGCTGTACTCCTAGCACTTTAGTTTGGATGATGCCTCTCTCAGCAGCATCTTATTACTGATGAATGATGAAAACCCCTCGTGCTTTATTTGTTAATGCCTCTTGGATCAGATATTTTTATTGCTCTCATAAATATTGTTTGTGTTTCATTTCAGAGTTTGTGTTGGCTGGCATTTTCAGGATTGTGATTTATTATTTCTCATGTAGTTTCACAAGCTTGTACATCTCTTTTTGTGTTTTTTTTTTCCCTTCAGGTTCAACGCTGGCTTAATGAACTTTGTGAAGAGCTGAATGAACGCCTACACTCTGACCTGGATCTAAACAAACGGATTGCACAGACACTGACTCTGCATGCTAGAGCATATAAGGTGGCTATTCAGAGACTGATCTTTACACAATTCTCTTTTACTCAGACAATTTTGTCCATTTTTACTCTTTTACCATCTCTGATTGTAAACTTTTCTTTTGTCATCATCAATGGTTTTTTTACATATATTTTATTTGAGTTTTTATCTTGCAGACAGGGGATTCAGATTCACATAGAAAGTTCCCTTCTAAATCTTGTCCTTTAAGATATGGGACTAGAAAGATTCAAGAGGATGCCATAATTCTGTTCCAAGCTGGGTTACGTGATTTTTTGGGCTTCTGCAGTAAGGCTCATGGAAGCGAAAATAACTACTGGGGAGTAACATCACTTTCTGTCTCTGCAAGTAAAATTGTGTCCATACCATCTGTAAGTATGAACTGCTTGAATTAATAAATTTTTGTTGTGATTTGGGTTCATCTTGTGTCTCCTGATAGGGTCACCTTAAAATAGTGACAAACATCACTAGCATCTGAAATAAATAACCTGTAATTATTGTTGTAGCATGTGGTATACTACTAGTATCTGTATTTGGTATTTCTAAGCCATGTATTCTGTGTTTGGTTTATACTTGTTAACATGAGCCTTGCAATTTTATTTTCCCTTTTTGGTTGGTCCTAGCCAAGTGATAGCTTTTAGGGTCGCATATTGGTATTTAAATTTTTTGTCTTAAATGGCATTTCCGTCCAGGGGACACATTCAATAGTTAAATACTTCGGTGGGCAATTTCCGTCAAGTTCTACATCAAATCAATCTCAAGATGTTGTCATTGATGGAGCTGCACCATCAGGTTTTACATCATCTCATTGGTTGCATTAGTTATTAAATTACTCTCTTAAATTCCACTTTAATTTAATGAAGGCTATACGCTTAAGCAGGTAGTGAAAATTGTTCGGGATTGGTTCCCTATGAATCTCAGCTTGAATATCCTGAAGACACGGGAATGAAGCATTCAAAATCTTCTTTGTATCAACAGGTATATCAAAGCAAGTATGTATTCTCAAATAAACATATTTACCAGAAGATTTTTATGATAGTGGATTTTAGGTGACTGCAAGATGGTATAGATTATGAAAGGTTCTAATGACTAATGTTGAGATCTGGTAGAAATATTTAATAGCTGTTAGCAGATATTGTGCTGACTCGTGTTCTGTCAGACTTCAATATTGTTTTCTCATTTTAATGTGTTTTATTCATAGGTAAAAGGTAAAGATATGACTTGCTTGTAGGAAAGATTGTTCAGTTTGTATATAAATTCAACTAAAAGAGTTTGCTATGTATCCTTTTTGACTGTTAATGCAATATTTTATCAGAATCAAACCCTCGACTTTGGTTCTCTATATGCAAATTTTTGTAGAAAACAGATCCAATAATAATTCATGAGATTTCTCTTTTCACTTTACAGGATCCACTGTGCAATTTATCCAGTAAAGCAGATAGCTTGACTGAAGAATCCCTCCTCATGTCACCCCTAGGTACTGTGTGGTACTGGTTTTAGCTCATCATTCTCACTTCTCTTGTTTCCTTTTGAGATTATGATTGTTTTCTAATTCAGGAAGTGAAGACAGAATGATACATGATGAGTCACGTAGAGATTTACCTGCAAAAGATCACAGGCTTGTTTCAAATATCTCTGGTTTGAAAGCAGTTGGGAAGAAAAAGAGAGCAGGAAAGCAGCTTCAAGTATGCTTTGTGATGTTATTTAGCTATTGTTTATATAGTTTTTTTTTAATCGAGATATACTGATATAGTTTAGCATGTCTTAAGTGCAATCATGAGCATAAAAACCTTCAAATCAATTATAATCCTGTGTCGCAAGTATCTAGGATGGGTGGTGTGCTGTTAAGTACTGTTCTTGACCAAGAGAATTTATTTTCTTCTTTTTTTTTCTTTCAAATTCTTATCGTAGTTCTGCAAACAGAATTGAACTGGTTAAGTTGGTAACTTAACCAGAAATCAGTTACTTACGGATCCAGTTACAGCATATAAATCATTTATTTCAAGTCTGAGACCGGTTGTCTGTGCAATTCTTGTCCACAGGGTCACATGGTTCAAACTTTTCTTTAATAATTTTTAGCTAATACCAAAACCGATGTGGTTTTGAAGAGACACACACATTTTTCAGCTAATACTTGTAGCATATCTTTCATTATGTTTGTGTTAAAAAACAACACAGACTAAGCCACTAGCCAACTATGATGGCCCAAATAAGCCATAGGCTCGTGTTTCAGATTCAGATGGATAGATGTTAAAATGCATACTTCATAAAGCATCCGAGTAAGGCATGCGACTAGTGTCTTGGATTTTATAGATGCTGGAATGAATGGATGCTTTGGTGCTTCAGTGCGGGACTTGAATAACATGCAATTACTGACTTTAATAGGAAAATGGCGGGGATAATGTCTCACGCCATTTGTGTAGTCTGGTTTGACCATGTTTCAACTATGATCGCATAAGTCCCTCAGCCTATTCAATAATTTTTTCAATTTTCAGAATCTTGGCTCCCTATCTGGTTGTTCTAGTTTGTAATATGCCTTGATATATGAAAAATGGCAGTGTCATATCAACAAATCAACTTCTAGGTTTTCCCTTAACCGAAAGAGTAATAAATTATAATAGCTTATGCTGATAGAATGATGATAAGGAGTTTTAGCTATGAATCTATTGCATTTTAGTTTTTACAATAAGAATTATTTTTGTGGCAGGGGAATTCTTCAATTACAAATTTCTTCAGTAATTACCACAATTCCCAGTCTTCATCGGAGCAGAAGAATGTTACAAATGCCGAGGGTGTTAAAATATCATCATCACATGGTAATTTTCTGATCCTATTCCTTTTATTATATTTATGAGATCCTGTCTCTATTTCTCATCCTAATATCATCAATATGACAGGATCTCAGTCTGCCGATGATAGTTATTCAACTCCTAATCGAGTTGGGCAGCCTGCTGAGCACCCTCATGAAGAGATTGATGCAAACAAGAGTGGATGTAGCGTAGGTAATATACCACAAGGAAGAAGGCAAGCTTGGAGTTATAACATTGATGAAATTGACCCTTCTATCATCGATGAATTACCACCAGAAATTCAGCAAGAGTTTCGAACCTGGCTTAGGCCGCATAAACGGTCTAATGTGGTTAAACGAGGTTCTAGTATTACGCACTATTTCTTACCTGACAAAAGTAGATAAAATGATTATTGACTTCAGTTTATTGTACATATTGTATGATGTTATTTTAGAATAGCTGATTTGTGATTGGTTATTTGCTTTTCAGATATTTTATGGTTGTATGATGCTCCTTTTAAGGTTTCTTATGTAAATAGGCATATTATTCTCTCCGGCCGAATCCAACAAAAAATTGCTATATTCGAACAATTTAGGAGTGAAAATTGAAGAGGCAGACAGAGAAATGTTCATAAAAATCCAAGTTTCAAAAGAAAGTAAAACTTCCGGTAAGTAAAAGAGATTGAAAGCATATTAGCATATTATATGAAATAGTGAGAAAGAGGCATTTGTGTGTCTCTTAGTTTTTTTTAATTAAAATAAATAACAAGAATAATTGAAGGTGGTTATTTAAAAGTCTTGAGAGGTTGCAATTTGAATACTGTGTTATTTTGGATGTGAATGTGGATCACAAACGAATAAGCAAACATGCCCTCCTTCACTTATGTATGTGCATTTGTTTTAACGTTGCCAGTGTTTGATTAATGGTTAAAATCTTGAAACACGCTCCAATATTGATGCGCTTTCGGAGTACCTGATACCAAATCAAACACTATACAACGTAGCTTTTGCATTCAATCCACTCCAACATGGATTTGGAATGTAGTTCCAAACATGTAAATCGTCTATGAGAGAAGATTCAAAATTTTAAAAGTAAGAGTTCATTATTGTTAACAAATACAGTTTGTTATCAAGTTCTAATTAAACATGTGCTAATACGCAATTCAATAAAATGTGTAACATTGGATTTCACGAATTTCATAATTATTTATTTTATTATGTTAATTACTGAATAAATAATACATGTTCAATTAAAAATTGTTATACATGATAACTTTATTGTTTTTTTTATAATAATCATTTTAAAAATGATTCAAAAAATATTATTGATTTGATAAAAAAATGTTATTGATTACTGATATCAAAATCATACCAATAATATTTTTGATTGGCTGATATATCTCTAGGTTTCATTCATGTCAAAGTTAAATGAAACTATACTAATTTTCAATTAATGACCCATTTGAGCAACTCTTTCAAAAGACACGAGGAAAAGTATATCAACTTTTGCAAATATCATTAGCAAAACACATTCCACATTTGTTAATCTACGCACAAGGTCTTACTTTAGTCACATGGACGAGATGATGAACAATATGGGCCTGATTTAGTCATTTTGTTTGAAAATGTTAATTTGAATAATTTCTGAGTTGCAATTTAGTCAAAATCACATTTTTTTTACACCAATCACATGGAGTTAAAATGTAGGTTTTTGACTTGTAGGGAGTGAATTTAAACATTAAAATAAACTAACCAAAATGAATTTTGAGGAAATTGGTAATCTATTGGTAATAATAGAGTATTATACCATAATGAACTACACCAGCGAGGTGCGAGTCAGAGGCAGCGAATGCACGTGAGCCTCGCGTGTCTAACGACAACCCTAAGCCCTCCGCACTCCGCCTCTGTTCCCGTTGCGCAAGGTACTCCGCAGTCCGTCTGAACACTCCTTTTTCACTTTGCTAATTTTGGAGTCCGTAGTGGTGTTTTGCTAGTTGCAACTCTTAGTAATTTCACATTTTCACTAATTTGGTTAATTGTTCTGTTATTTCTGTTTTTAAATTCTAAATGTGTAATGTTATGCCTAAACTAATTGTTCTGTTCAATCTGTTGTAAATGGTAAATGTGTAATTGTAGGTTGTTGTTGCTCCTAATTAGTAAATTGCTCTTTTGCTGTGCCATGGTGGTTCTTATTTCACATTTCAGAATTTGCCACAAGTTTTACTCCTTGGACATAAATAAATTCCGGACTTGTTTAGAACTTGTTTGATTATGTTTAAAACTTATTTGTGAGTTTTGTTATGTGTTTGAGCTCACAAGTGACATTGGAACTTATGTTAGACTCTACTGTGATTTTTCTTTTTGACTTTTAAGGCATGCTATGAAATATGTATGACATGAATATTTTCAAAATTTTTAATAGTCTTAGTGACTCACCAGTTAGACCATTGACCCAGTGCTCTCGGTCTGAACACTTGAACATGGAGAGACTGTTTAAACAGATTAGGCCTGATTAACCTTTGGGTCATGCATTACCCTTTTTCCTCACTAGCTTACTCATACTCTGTTTGTCACTCCGATGCACTTAAACTGTTCGAAGAAACTCCCCATCAATCCCTCCCTTCAAACATATTGGTTTCTACTCTTGCACCCTTTTCAAGCTACTAATACTTAAGTTCTGATGACAGCATTGTGAACCTCAATGCCCAATATAAAAAGTTTACTTGCTGAGTTGAAGTTGAGCGTACACTGGTCGTTGTAGCCACAAACATCATGGATAATACAACATTTCGAAGTTTTCTTCAAGTTCTTCCCCCCATTGAATTTGCCTGCGTCTATGGATCATCTCTTCATCCATCCAACAACGATAAGGTCCCTTTTGTTTCACACCCATAAATTGTTTTTGTTGTTGTTCCTCTTCTCCATTCCAGGCCTCTTTTTTATTTATTCATTCACCCTTTAGTTGTTTTTTTTTTAATATTTGTTCTCTGTTCTGTGTTTTTGTGTTTCTAGACAACCATGACAGATTATATTCTTGGTGTATGTGACCCAAAGCAGTGGCATTCTGAGGTACTGATATGTGATGACATGTTGTGTACTTGTGTTATGAGTTGTATAGTATTATTTGATTGCCCTTCTCATACTTTTTAAATTTTTTTAATTTTCATTTTATTCTTTTTGCAATGGCATCAATCAAGAATCTGAAATTGAACAAGCATCACTATGCGTCATGGATGGTTAACCTTGGTGGGGAGAGGCTGGTACTTGCTCAAATTTAGTTTTCTTTTGTTTTTGGACTCTTGTGTCTTGCTTGGGTTATTAGATGATGATCATATCTCATGCTGTATCTTGATGTAACATGTAAGATTACCGGAGTTGCTGATAAAGTTGGTGTGGGAGTGCATTTCAACCCTTTTGTTACTTGGAATGGAAAGGTATTGATAGCCTTATGACTTGGTGGTGTGGTATGTGAATCAGACCCAGAGTTCAGTTTCTGCAAACTCACCTTCCAGAGCATTTAATTGAGAATACTGGGATATTTTTTGGTTGTTCATAACATTTTTTTTTTTTGGCTGATTTGTTAAATCAAGATTACCTTTTTCATGAGTTCCTCATCTCTATAAGTAAATTTATGCAGCTGTTCAAGTATGGGGTTGTTCGAATGCATGACTTACTTCAAGATGTACAGTATTGGGAGAAATTCTACTTGTGTGGTCGGTTACAAAAACCAGTATATTACCTTTTTTTCCTAATCATTTAATTCTTGATATTTCCTGAGCTCTAAGCTAGTGTGTTTACAATATTCTTAATTTTCACTTATCAAATTCTCTCTGGATAAAAGAACTAAAGATATTTTATTTTTAGCATCTATGCTAATTTATATTTTCTCATGTTTAGCTAGGAAGATATTAGTGTATAGTAAGTACTTTTAAGCTTTATGATTCACCTCTTATTCTCAGATTACTGTTGTAACTAGCAGTGAAGGTAGATCTAAATGCGAGCAACTCTAGTGGCATAGAGGAGGAAAAAAAGAAAAAAGAAAACAGAAAGGCATTGCTGTTACAAAGAAGAGGAAGGATAGGGAGGCGGCTGTGTGGGGGGAAAGAGATAGAAGGTCAAAAAAATAAATCCCTAGTTCTCAGAATCTCAGCATCATTCAGATAGGAAAAATAATAAAATAAAAGAAATTATGGGCTAGTGTTCTAAAATAAGCAAAAGAGCCTATTCAATTATAGGATGTTTATATGTGGTAATGCTGTAATCCAATTCTAGGTTAATTTGGATCCTAAATAGCAAACCAACTAAGTTTATGCCTTATACCACATATCAAGAAAATTCCTGTACTATATACTTGTACTGTATGCATACAACATACCAAAATGTACCATAAATCATGCAACACTGCTCTAGTGCTGGTGTCACATATCTATCTCATAGTTTGTCTCTCCTCAATTTTTTTTCCTGATATTTTCAATACATGATTGAGGGTTACGGATGTGTTTCATGCAGGTTCATATTGTTGTTGATAATTTAGATGTTAACAGCACCAACTCTGTTAACTTGAGAGCTGCAGTGTCAGCTGCTCTTCTTCTGCTTCCATCAGAATTCACAGAGGTATTCTTCTTTCTTATTAAATTATTTATTTTGAGAGTTGGAACAACTGAAATAATTCAAGCATACCCTTGCAGGCAGATCTATATGCCAAAGTATGTAGTCTCTCATACACAGGTGACGTGCGCATGCTATTTGCTGAGGATAAAAACAAGGTATTCCTTTTTCTACCTGAGTAGGATGTGGTATGGAAATGTTAATGTCTTTTAAGTTCTGATATATATAAACTCTCCATGCTTACTTGATACCATCCCATGTGAGGACTGAGGAGCATGTGTATACAGTGGTTAAAGTCAGTCTGGTCACAAATTCTGGCTAATGCTTTAGATACTGCCGCCTTTCTAAATTACAAGTTGTCTCTTTATAGTTATTTTGTTTTACACGTTTCTTGTAGTGAAGATGTGAAACATTGGATATTAGTCATTTCACTGATATGAACATGCCCATCCTTGATAGTCAGGTTGTATTCTCACTTAATATGATTAGAATTATCTACTGAAATTAGTGAACAGTTTCTGTATGTATCCTTTTGTTGTCTTAGGGACTGGCAGATTCCTGCT